GTTTTCTTTAAGAGTACCACTAAATGGAATGAAACAAAACATGGCATGAATGTTCCTAATGAGGTGCTGGCCAAGTGTTGAAACTTTGTAGCCAATCAATCATCCAAGATGGCTGCCAGCGGTGAACTTAGTTTAACAAAGGACCCTATGTGAAATACAAACAAAAGTCTTCTTTTGAAGAACCGCTTAATGGATTGAAACCCAACATGGTATGAATGTTTCTTTTGAGGTGCTGATCAAGTGTTGTTACTTTGTAGCTGATTTGTCATTGTCCTTATAAAGTCATTTTCTACAATTTCAATGAATTTATTGGTAATTTCTTTAAACTTTACAAAAGTCTTATGCTTTTGATTAAATCAAGGGGCCAATATTAAACCAAATTTGGCCTCAATCATTATTAGGGTCTCGTTATGATTTTAATCTATTTTTACATGATTTCCAAAACCAAAGTAGAATCAGGTGAGCGACACAGGCTCTTGGGAGCCTCTAGTTGTTTTTAAATATCATCTTTTCCAACAAAGAATGTATATTCAAGGAGCCAAAATTTCATGCAGTCTATGCTCCTCTCCGTCACCATTCAATGCAATAGACGGAGATACGGTCCGATATGTGTCAGATGTCATTTTATTGGAAATCTCTAACATACCACAAAATTTTGAATACTTTCATAAAAAATAGTCTTTGTTAGCAATAATTTATCACTTATAAATCTATTTTAGATGATGTTATAAGTACTTAAAACACTAAAAAAAATATTTCAACTCTTGAAATTTCTTTCAACAACAAGGGCTACAGGTGTGATATACCCAATAGTTCAGCTCAAATGTTTCTTTCTCCCGATGGTTTGATGATGGTTTTTACATAGTGGCCTCCAACGCATACTGCTGGTTTAAAAAATTGGTGAAACTTTATTAAACATGTAAGGAGGGTCGTTTCTGATTTTTATTTTTACTTTTTAGCGGCAGTTTCCAATATTAGATTATCTACCGTAGGTTGCGCCCTATAGTAGCACACATATTTTGACCCTGCTCCCCAAATTATGCGCCGTCTTTTTTGTAATGGTTGTCCTGTTGATAACCTGCTGATCCATGTAAACTAATTGATCGTTTGAATACACTTATTCTTTGAGGTTAAATGTTACACAGTAGTAAAATCTTGAAATATTGTTTTATCGGTACTAACATTGATTTTGGTTTTTTTTTTTAAATTGAAACGTAACTTAATATATATTACTGTATGCGTACTGTTATGCAAACTCGTGGTCCTACATCTTGTCGATACTGTTTACTTATATTTTTGCATTGCACAATGTCATGCGTTTCTCATACTGTTTATGACGTCTTTACACTTAATCCGTTGGATGTGTACTAATTGATACTTATTTTGGGAGAAAATGATTTATTTATTAGTTGTTATTGGGTTTGACCTGGCTCTCAGTAAGTGCGAATATTCTTATTTCGCTGCTTTGTGTTATTGTGTTATTTGTGTTTGTGTCTCGTACCGATCTCTTGAGTTTAGCAAATTGCAACTGGTGTTTAGTGTGTTTTTTTATTGTGCTGTTGCACCACTGTCCAATGTTAGGGAGGGGTTGAGCGCCCACTAACATGTTTAACCCCGACGAATTATTAATGTGACTGTCCAAAGTCAGGAGCCTGTAGTTCAGTGGTTGTCGTTGATTTGTGTCTGTCATATCTATTTTTCATAGATTGTTTTGATATTAATTTGGCTGATTTTTTCTCGTTTGAATTCACAATTTTCGGCTTTTATAGCCGACTTTACGGTATAAGAGTTTCATTATTGGAGGCTGTACGGTGGCTTATAATTGCTTACTATCTATTCATTTTAACTGTGGCGGATATTGGTATCATTTGCAATATTACCACAAGTTGGTTGGACATACATGTAGTAGGATTGTTTAGAAATATTGAAAACAACTGCAGATTTTTGGATATCAAACATCGCCATATCAGTTGGATTGGAGTATGTACTAAGTCTTTTATATATATATATAAGTCCAGTGAACGCAATACATGTATACATAACTCATTTCCTCTCCGTGTAATGCAAACTCCTTCAATAAGAAATCCAATTTCATCTCAAATCTACACCCAAAATTTATAAACATACATTGTTTTAGATCATTTGATAATGACTTGCTAATAGTATAATATAAAGGTTAAAAGGAAGTAATTAAAGATGACTGTCGCCACCTAGATTTTACACCCAAGATAATAGGTAGAAGTAAATTTATTTGCTGCTGCCCTTTTTAATTAGAAAACAAAATTGAAATAGTGAGAAATGAGTATTGGCCATTGGTGTGGAAATAGCAAGAAATTTGGAGGAAACTCTCTGTGACGAGCAACATTTTCTGTATAAAATTATTCAAGGGTGTTCTTCATTCATACTTTTTCTAAAATTCCGGAACCGTTGAGTACCCTTAAAAAATGCCATTTTTCTATCAAAAAAGCTGCGGCATCATATGTCTTTTGCAGTTTTATTCACACCAAAAGGTGTTGATAATTCAAAATTTGACAGTTTTATCAACGGATCGTTTATAGTGAAAACGCAGGACCCAAAAAAGCTACCATTGTCGCCTATGTAAATAATTACTTCATTTTAACTTAAAGCGAAATAACGATTTCTGGCGCATCACTGTATTTGTTAGATATTTTAGAAATGGGAAAGGTGATTTGATAAGCTTCTAGGTAGTAAACTGTATCAGAAGAAAATTACTGATCACCATGAACACATAGTCTATATCAATTTCTTACTGTGTTTTATTTTTCTTTTGTTTAAGGGGTAGGATTCATTAACCCACTGTAGGAACGAAAATTCTGTCAAGGACTCTGTCTTTAATCATCTCTCCTCATCTTCGATACCATTGCATGTATTTAGGCATATCTAACAAAAAGGGGGCTTATTTGTGCTGACGTTAGGCGAAGTTTTTGTATTTTTAATTGCCAAAATGTGCCTAAATGCCCCTTAAGTAATAAAATAAGGTAAAAAATCAAAGGCTATACATGTTTCTTCTTAGAAACGTTGAATTGAGTATTTTGTACACGGTCCACATAAAACACATAACAGCAATGATAAATTCTTAATTTCATCATTGTCATAGTCTATTTCATAATACGTTTTTACGCTCATGCAATTATTTTCATATATTCGTGACAAAAACATATAAGTTGAACACAGTAATCAAATCATCATCCTAAAGTCTTTAATAGGCCTAAATCGAACTTCATTAATCGAACACCAAGTTTTAAACCAGCCAAACAGTTCAAATATGCTGGTTAATTTCCCCAAGTCTTTAAAAAGTAACGTTTTCTGCAAATGGGGGTACATGTAAAGAAATTAATTTTAAATGGTGAAAAATTGTATCTTCAATCCAAAAATTTGGACTTCAGCAGCAGGGGTATATAAATGTAGTAATCGACTAATGCAAAGGTTGTCCGATCTTTGTCAGTATAGATTAAAATGAAGTCACTAAAGATGACTGGCGCCACCTAGATTTTACACCCAAGATAATAGGTAGAAGTAAATTTATTTGCTGCTGCCCTGGTAATTAGAAATAGTGAGAAATGAGTGTTGGCAATTGGTGTAGAAATAGCGAGAAATTTGGAGGAAACTCTCTGTGACGAGCAACATTTTCTGTGCAAAATTAAGCAAGGGGTGTTCTTCATTCATACTATTACTAAAATTCCGGAACCGTTGAGCACCCTTAAAAATGCCATTTTTCTATCAAAAAAGCTGCGGCAACATATGTGTTTTGCAGTTTTATTCACACCCAAAGGTGTTGATAATTCAGAATTTGACAGTTTTATCAACGGATCTTTAATAGTGAAAACGCAGGACCCAAAAAGGCTACCATTGTCGCCTATGTAAATAATTACTTAACCAAAAGTAACTTTCCATGAGTGATGCCTAAATTGCAGTCATATGTGTACAAACTAATAAATCATATCCAGTTTTGATTGTTATACATCTAGTTGATCAGCAAATGCAGCATTTTGAACATTTTAACATTATTTAATTGAACATGCTTATCATGTCAAACATATCCACTTCTTAAAGACATATATATTTCAATTTACTTTATGTGAAGTTTTGAAGAAAAAAATCATTCAAAGTAATTTTTTTGAATCAATGTCATAAATTTTCAAAAAGGCTCTTGTTACATTTCGTAAACCAATATTTACCAGAAAGAGATTCACATGTTTTCATCTGCTTTTATACATTCCCCACATTTTTACGTTTTCTGAATCAGCATCGAATAAATGTTTATTTTACTTATCAATTGATAATTACATTTCAAAAACGGAGTTCTTTCTTTTTTTTTGTTGGTGTCTTTGATAGATTATTTTGTATGTCTGTTGTAATTTTTCAGTTAGTTGTATGTGTTGTATGTATTCGGATGTTTGTTAACACAGTTTTGGCTGCTGGGTCCCAATTATTGTAACATTAACCTAGTAAGTCTGTTTGGGTTGTTCACCCAATTTGTCAATATAACTGAATTATAAACAACTGTTATTCAAGCTGGAGGTTTAGCCTGCTATAAAACCAGGTTTTACCTACCATTTTCTTCGAGAAATGTCTGTGCAAAGTCACGAATATGACTGTTGTTTGCCAATTGTTCAGTTGAATGATAAAGTCTTACGTTTGATTTTTCAGTTTTCACGGGGTATTTTTAATGTTCCTTGTGGAATTCGGTATTATTGTTATCAGTTTCCCCCTTTCAATCAGTAATTCGGTACTGGCATGATTTAAAGCAAACTTTTCTTAAATCGTTCGATTAAAAATCGAAACTCCCTCTGGCAAAGTTGGCCTTTTATGGATTTGGCTATTATTTCTATGTCCTTTTGGCCATGTAGCTCTTCAATTGTTTTGGTTCTTACACATCCTTGGTTTTCAAATATTCGGCTTTGAGCGTTCCTGGTCAAGGTAAATCAATAAAAGCGCTTCGGACGCAGGAAATTTATAAAGTCTTAATTTTTTTTCAGTGTCCAGTGCAATGATAATCAAAAACAGAAAAGGTATGTCAACATTAATTAAGTTGCTATTGCTGAACTTGCAATTCAATAGGGAGGAAAAAGTGCAAATTATTAGGGTGTGCTAGTTATATCCAATTAAATATAATTTTTCTTCCAATTAAAGCGCTAATTAAATAGTAAAACGATATTGTTTTCCTCGAAGCTTTTGTTTGTAAGTTTGATTTAACTACCAAATCAATTTACTCGATTTGAATATCAGTAAACTGCTTTCGTCGTAGTACCTGCGTCGCCAACTGATAGATTGAAACTCAAAACGCTCATTGTACATGGATTTTTTTGTCAATCTTTTCTTGACTTCTCTGGATGTGAATAAATTTATATTTGGTATAAATTTTGATAATGTTGCGTGTAAGCAATTTTTACATTTGCCGTGCATCAATTTTCCCGTTTGCCGATAGTTAAAAAATTTTCAAAACTTATTGTACACGGAACATTTTGAATCGATTTTCATCAGTAATTTTTATTTAAGTAATTGCATGCGTCATGCAAGTCCAGACCCGGTATTGGTCTTAGTTGATAATACATGTATATGTAAGCAAATATAGAGTTTTTTGCTCACTCAAAATTGGTTTATCCCCACCGCATCTGTGCCTGTACCAAGTTTGACGATATAAACAATATATTGCTCGTTATTGTTTGTCTCTGTTTGTACGGGGGCAGTCGTGTGTTGGTGGTTAAAGTGGTTTGTTGTACCGTAAGGCATTGTTAGTGATTCCTGTTATCCGTGTTTGTATTATTTTAAAACTATATGGATAATTGCTACCACAACACAATGATGTATGTTTTTTCAGAACATCAAGTTTTGGCAACATTCCCTTTTCAAAGGACAGGTGCAATATCGATATTGCTGGTGATCCCAACAAGAAATAAGTTGTTATTTTTCACTATATATCTAAACTTATTGTACACATAACATCTGGTATTAAGCCAAACAGTCATTAACCCTTTTAGATTTAATTGTATTTTTTCATGTTAAAACATTGTTGTGACGTCATTCTATTGTTGTACCCGTTCTTTATTTCAGTGATTGGACTATCATTTGCCTGTAAGTAAACCATTATGTTACCTTCAACTTTTAACTGTCCAATACTTTTAAGAATAACCCTCCTCTTTCTTAAAAATATTGGACAGCTGAAGGTAGCATAATTGATTCTTACAGGTAAATGATAGTTCAAGAACTGAAAAAAAAATCAATCAATTCCAACAATGTTTTTTCTTCTTGTGAAAAAAAAATACAACGAAAGAACAATTGACAATTACGCTAAAACTTTTTATTAAAGTCACCTTTCAATACAATAATTTTGTCACTCATCAAGACGGTTTCATGAGAAAAAAAAAAGACACTTTCAAATCGATTTAACACTGCCAATACTTTTTTTGTCTCATTTTTTGGGTTGTGTCCGTTAGCATCAATTTGGTTGATTATGCTCGTTGTAAGTTTTGTTTTTGTTGCATTTAGGTATTTCTTTTTGCAAAACCTTTATCCTCGTTCGTCTTTGGATATAAAAATCGACATCTGGTGTTGCTTTCATTCTTCCTAATATAATTTTCAGATACAATTAAAATGAAAAAAAAAAATAATTCTTCTAACGCTTGATAGATTATGCAGGTGCATACAAATGCAGCGGGTTTAAACGTTTTAACAGGCACCAACCTTCATTCTAACCTGAAACAGTAGTGTAACATTACAACATAAAAAGACACACTATAAAATATGATTTGAAATGGCTTAACTCGATCAAAAAGACATATAAACAAATACAAGCAAACACACACTGAACGAAACCACGAACAGAATTTATGATGGCTTAATGTTTGAGTTGTTTGCATTTACAGTTTGGTTTACAATGGAAATAACGTTATACATTTTTCTGGATACTATCATCAAATTGAAAACAACAACATTTATCAAAATAAGAAGTATAGATGAATGTGCACCTCAATCTAGACAAAATTAAGAAAATGAAGAGTTTCTACTCCAATTTCTTGAACAGTATTGCACAGGGGGTATATCAAGAGCCCATTACCTACGTTCTCTATGATATTAATGTCAGCCTAGAACGGACTTATAACCTTTTAGACTTTTAGTGTTGTATTGTAATTGACATAATTTTCAGGTGTCGGTGTTGATTTACAAGTTTGTTTTTTTTTAAATCTGATATTATTGCTTGTATAGGAATATAATACAAAACTATGCTTATCAGCGACGATGAACATAGGAAGCAGAATAAAGGAACACGTTACCGCAGGTTACATGTATCTGTTAAACAAATCAACCATGTGTCCGATTCGCACTTTGGTGATTATTTTTTTTAACCGATGTACTCTCTAGAAATTAAATAAACGTAGGTGCTAGATTTAATCATATGTTTGTTAAATAAGTTTAAGAACGTTTGTGATTGTGTTATATTGAATGATTAATTGATTGATTGGTGATTGCTTTACGCCGCATCAGCACAAAAAGGCTATATCGCGACAAGAGCTACTTCAAATATAATAACAAGATTGTGTTATATAAATTTGAACATAAAACCCTTTCCTGCATTGAATTGATTGAAAAGGGTATTTTTACTATATATAACATCAACTTACGAATTACATGTATTTCTTTCCAATGTACTTTCCAAACAGTTTCAGACACTTCGCTTTAGTTTAGATCTCAGAGGTAAAATTGATTGAATGCTATAATTATACATTAAGAACAGAAACAAAGATATGTACACATACAATGCTTTGTTTTGAAAGAAAAAAAGAAAGCGTTGTTTGCAAAAGGAAATCGAGAGACAAAATTATATTTCGGTAACAGAAAAAAAAACACAAGCAACATCAATACGCAAATAAACGAAAAAAAGAGCGACACGATCTTGCAGAAAAAAAAAACAGAAAAAAGGGGAATATTAAGATGGTATCGTTTGGGTTAACAATAAATTTTGGTGAACGAGGAAAGAAAGAGGGGGCCTGCGTCATACTGTCATACGGGAAAATTGTTTATATATATTTTTTTTTCATGTAAAGTAGTTGAATAGGTCGGATCGATTTATTGATCTCCGGACATTTATTGGCAATGAATTTAGATATTATAACTATATTAATTCATTTTTACCAATAAACGATATAAATATTTGGATCATAATTCTCTTAAAATTCATTGAAATAATATAAGATGGGGAAATTCCGACGAACAACAAAATAATTTAAATTGATTGCACGCTTGTTATCTCTTCACTTGTGCTTTTTCATTTTATTTTATAGTGTTATATTTGAAATGAAATCGACTGCGGTGCACTCGATATGGCTGAACCTTTTTCATCAACGTGAACCTGTCTTTACATGGTTTTTTCTTTTTTTTCCCCTCATTCACCTATAATAATAAGAAACAAAACCCCAGAAGGAATAAGGAAGTAATAGGAGAAATAAATTTTAAAATGTAAAACTTGCCATTATTAGCTACTATAACTATATCCTCTTCGTTGACCGCACTGAATCGATTATATCTGAATACACATTTGAGTTTTATCCAAAGATTGAAACATCACAATCACTAATTAAAAACCAATCGTTCAGAGAGAACAATTAAAGTTCTTTCCACCCAAAACGATATATTTTGATATGAAAATATTAAAATCCAGTTTAAAATGTCATTTGCAGGGACAGATGACAGCTTACTAGACGCTGATTCCAAAAATATATGGTTTCTATACACTTTTTTTTTAAATAAGGGAAATAATTTGTTACTTCCGGTTTAAAAAATGTCACTTCATGTTTATATGATAGTTTACTTGACACTGATTCCAAAAATATATGGTTCTATATACTTTTACATTAAATAAGTACGAAAAATAGCTACTTCCGATTTACACAAGATCACTTCCGGTTGGCTTTTTTTTGTCATTTGGTTTGCAACATAATGCAAAAAGTCCCATTACTTTATCATGTTTGAATATGAAGTTAAAGCAAAGGTCAAAATCTAGAATATCAAATTTTACTTATGACCTTGACCTCAATTTCAAGGTCATCAAGCAAGGATCTCATATCAAAAGACCTTAGGTCTCTACTATGTATTGTTAATAAGTTATATTACCATACATCTTGTGTTTAACATTCCAGGGGAGAAAACTCCTAGTAAATGTTATCGCATCGCTCCGAAGAAAAATGTCTTATTACAACAAAACGCAACTAACCATTTGGTGAAAATCTTTTGTCGATATATATTAAAGTTTTTTAGTAGTATGCACAAGCAAAAGCAAAAAAATAAAAAATGACTTTGACCTTCAACCTTGACCTCATTTTTCTTTTTGGTGGACCAAGGACCTCATAACAAAAGACCCTAGTTCATATCACTTATGGTTTATGAGTTACTATTACATGTCGCTTATGTCGAATATATAAAGGAAAATAACTCTCATATGGAATGTTCAGATCTATTCGATCAAAACTGTTCTCGACAACCTGAGGATATAACGATCAATTTGGTAAAATAAATTTGTCGCAATCTTTTACGGTTGTAGTAAGGAGTAGTACGCACAAGACAAACAGTTTTAGGGAGATAACTCTTACAAGGGAAAGTGTTCGGTTAAGCGGTGTCAGTTTCAAAAGCGTATAAACTGTTCTATATCATATACAAAATATCTAAGCGACACCTTTTAAAATAAAAATACAGCGCATGAAAAAAATTAGGCGGAAGAAAAAAAAATAATAATCAGAACAAATCCTAAAGGTCTTTCCACGGAAAAGTGGAAAGACCTAATTATGACATCACTTTCTTCGGGTTTTTTTTTTTTTTTTTTGCATTAAGAATATACTTTCATCGTCTTTATCCATTTTTAGACACCAAACACATGTGAAGGTATTCACCGAAAATTTATAAAGTAGTCCTAGCGCACGCAAAAAGCATGATACGCATACATTGTGTATTCATGTACATGTAGCAATACATGTTGTTTATGTTTAAGTTGAGCTACTGTTTAAAGGTGCCAACATGTATGTTAATGTAAATAAAGTTTATCCACAAAACAATTTACACACTCGATGAAAATGAATGCTAAAAAAGTTTGTATTTGTTTGCTTTTTTAACCTTTTTTGACATGTTAAACACTGTTCTAAGTAAGATATAAGCCTCTAACAGTCCATTCTGTAAAATATTGCACAAGTCTTCGGCCTGCGACCTCAGACCTGTCCATTATTTTACAGAATGGACTGTTATCGGCGTATATCCCTTACATAAATAAAATCGTTGAGCAGAGACATATTTGTTAATGTGTGAAGCATCGATTTAGCTAAATGACAAAATACCGTTCACATATTTTGAAAGCTTGCTTCTGGACCCAAAATGTTACATGTTTTAGGGAGCTGATAAAATGCGTTAGTCCTTAAATCTTCGCTGCTAATTCAGTCTATTGGTCAATCAGCGAATATTATAATTGTATTAACAAATAAATGATCCGGCAGAACATTCCATAGAAAAAAATACGAGTTTTCGTAAAAGATAGTTTTCTCGACATAAAAAACATCTGAAAAGATAACACATGGCTGATACTGTTCACACGAATGTTAGATTGAAATAGGATATTATTTAATCCCATATATATCTGTATTTATCATATCGGAACTGAATACAGTTTGCTTTCACGTGAGTGTCTGTAACGTATAATTGCTGTTCTAGATGAAATTCCATAAATTCCGCAAACGAGTGAAACGAATTTGCATCATGGCATAATATAGTAAACGTGAAGCATGTGCACTGATATATTCTGGATAACAATCTGATTTTGTGTGCAGGCGTATATTTATTCTAGACTCAAATCCGTTGTTATTTGAAATCGGATGTAAAACTACCTACCTCACTTAATCAATTTGTTTGACTCTGGATTCTCAAATACGCATTCATTACGGAATAAGCGTGAACGCAAACCTGTATTATTGTCAAATTCATATCTAATTCTAAAACCCGTTTTTGTGTCTCGTGAACTATAATGTATGTACTTCCAGTCGGAGATGAATAAAACATTGATGTTTATCATTTATGAAATGCTGGTTATAAAATAAATTAACGACTGAATGTGAACTAGCTTAAAATGTTATAAAAGTTGTTAAAAGAATATCGGTTACACAATTTAGAAGTAAAACAAACCTCATCTAATACTCATCATTTTCTACATAAGAAATACCTGTACCAAGTCAGGAATATGACAGTTGTTTTCCATTCGTTTGATGTGTTTGAGCTTTTGATTTTGCCATTTGTTTAGGGACTTTCCGTTTTGAATTTTCCTCGGAGTTTAGTATTTTTGTTATTTTACTTTCTATTACTGCTGCTGGAAGACTATTAGTCCTTGAGGGCTGAATCAGCTCAGTATTCAGTGCTTTAGTACTGGCATGATTTATAACATGCCATTCTTAAATTCTCCTTTGACAAATTAAATTTGTTTATGAAACTAAGGTTTCAACTCCATCATGCAAAGTTTGCTTGGATTTATTTGGCAACTAGTTTTAGGTCTCATTTGATCTATTAGCTCGTCATGTGTTTCGGTACTTATACATCCTTAGCTTTCACAATTTTTGGCTTTAAATGTTCCTGGTGAAGGTAAATCCAGAAAAGCGCTTTTCACGCATAAGATAAATATAGTGATATTTTCTATTGCATACTGTTTCGAACATTTTAGAAAAAATCATTAGTAGTATATTTTGGATGTAGATATAAAGTTTGCATGTACTATAACATTTCAACACTTCGGGATTTATGAATATATAATTACGGAATAAAATGTAAATTCAGCTATAGATATTAGCAAAAGATTTCTTATTTATTATTGTATTTTTGAAACAAATTGACAATGACGGAAGACATTATTTTAACAATACCAGTGGAGTCCCCTGTGTCCCTGTAGCCGGTGAAATTGCGCATTACCTGATGTCATATCGGCAATGTAACACAAATAAAATTGTTTTTTGTAATTGTTTTAGTCTTCCGAAGGGACAGAAAAGATTAAAATTGATAAGTTCAAGCATAAATATAAGCTGCATACCCATGATTAAGCATATTTAGCCATTTTCCATAAAAAAAAATAAATGGATTCATTTTAAGTCAAATTTTGTTAAAATGAAATAAATTTTGCTCCACGTCTTTGGCAGTCTGTTTGGTTCAAACTCAACTATATTCCGTGGTATTAATGTTTTCCTTTATTCAAAATAAGCTATTTTAAGAAGGCATCCGCGAAATCGCCGAACATTTGAAAAACTGTCAAACAAGGGGTTTCTCTAATTTTGTACACGCATTACACAAAATCTAAATATAAGGGTGAAACCCTGCACAAAGAAGATTTTTTGAAATTAAATTATGGCATAAATTTGTTCGCACACTATTATCCGATGATTGAGTTTACCAAAGTGAAGCAAACAGTCTTAGGTGCGCGGATACACCGGACTGCACCCATGCCGAAATATATATATCAGTACGATAGTATTTCATATAATTCGTATACAACTATCTGTTATCATTATTGTTGCTCAAATCGTTAGACATGTATAAACAGTTTCCTTTTATTGTGTGATACGATATTTATTCACTCGAGACAGTTTTAAAATTTTAAATTTTAAACCCGAGGCTCGCCGATTTAACTGTCTCGAGTGGGTAAATATCGTAATGCACGAGATTTGGTGGTGGAATCTTTTTCTCTAATGATTTATAGTAAGTATGCAGAAAATCATATCCTTCTTTTCGAAAGATCTGCAAAAATATGTGTTCTTTCTATGTGACGTCATCAAACATTGTCGTCTTCTTTAATGACGTCACAATAGGAATTTCAGAGAAAAGCAAGAAAATTTGACGTCATAATAGAATTTTGATCAATGGCAAACTGAGATCAAACGAACCACACGTTGATTTAAAAAATATGGTCAACAAGAAATCAAAATGTAAATAAAAGTATAAATCGGGTAAGAATTAGAAAAATATACATATAGATCGTCGAGATAATAGTTTACTATTAAAGTGTCGTATTGTTATAAAAACCATACTGCACACAATAAAAAAATAACATTTTTCGTTTAAAAAAAGTATATTAAAATTACTAACTAAAGATGATAAGTACAAAAATAATTTAATATTTCGGATAATATTAGTTACATAGTGTGCTAGTGACTTAAAACGATATATATGGGGTCAGTAAATTACATATGAAGTGAGAGCAAAGCTCGAATCCCCATATGGAATTTACTGGCCCCATATATATCGTATTAGGTCACTAGCACACTGTGTAACGAATTTATCTCACCGACTATCTTCACCTGAGGTAGACTAGTGGGCTATCAAAGTGATCAGGTCTTCAAGAACCTACTTCCATGAGTCTATACAAAACAAATGCCAACAATAACAACTTGTAAGCATTAAATGTATTTTATGAATTTATTCCAATCGTTCATCATCAATTTCTTCGTTTGTTGAAACCTTTCAGATTTTTCCTCAACACCGTGTTGTACAAAGGGACGTAACACCACTACTAACAATGTATTGAAATAAGCCACACCTACTTAACCCATATGAAATATACACGGTCTCCACGCGGTTGATTTTAACCAATTATATTCCTAGAAATGTATAGGAGTTAAGATAATAATGTATGTAATCACATCATCCGGAACTGAGCGTATATACAGTTACATCTCCGAAAAGGTGCAAATCAGGTGTTATATGCATACTTTGATCTACTATTGGAATTACTGTACGGAAAAGGAATATATCGTTTTCTCAAAATGTTTAGGGGAAGACGGATTTCGACTGTCATTTAATTAAAAGAAATAGGAAACTACAGTGAGAATTAGATTATGATTATTTTGTTGGGATAGGCGGCATGTATTACTTTAAACTCATAAGAAATTAAATTGCATTTATTTAGTAGTACTTATACTTGAACAATATCAGACATGATCAGATGAGCACCAAAGCCAAAACTACTTACAAATACTTAGGATTATCTACCCAAGCAATAGATAACCTTAGGTGTATTATGCAAAATATTTAGGAAATTTGGGTCCTCAATGCTCTTCAAACTCGTACATTATTTTGCCTTTTTTTTTTAACTTTTTGATTGGGGGTCACTGATAAGTCTATTGTAGACGAAACGTGCGTCTTGCGTACTAAATTTTAATCCTGGTATCTATGATGGGTTAATTTACGAAGTTATGACCCCAATTGTGCATTTTATTGTCAGTGTTGATCCATTTTTAAATGATTTATAACATTACAAAGATAAATTGCTTTGGCCCTAACAGTTCAAGAAAATGTTTGTATCTTAATATTCAATGAGGACCTAAGCATTTATTGGTGACAGAAAAATTGGATCGTTGGTTGCGGTAAAGGTTTCATAAAGCTTTTAGGTCCGCAAAAAGCTCAAAATCATCGTGTTTTGATAACAGTCATCTTCAAAATCTGTTGACATTTGAGGCTATAATGTACTCCTACGAAGAGAATTGTTAATGCAAAGTACAGTTTTGATAAAGATTAATTTAAGAAACAAAGTACGGCCGTTGATATATTGTATGATAAAGTTGGAATGCAAGACCATATTTTCAGTCTTCTAATCATTTCATGTAAAATTATATTTTTTAATCAAATTTTGCTTTAATAGTGTCTACTGTAAAATTGCATAAAGTATTTTATTTTTATGAAGATATTGCTACTTCTGACTGGCTTATTTCAAGTTGTTTTACACGGAACTGATATTCTTCCCTCATGAATTATTTTGCAGATTGATGGACCAGAGAATATCGAGACAGATGACGTATAGGTTTTTAAATCGTAATGTAACTTTGATAGTACATGTTACACATTTGTATAAGATATTATTACAATTGAAATGTGTTATTTTTTGTGGGTTTTTTTTGTTGTTTGTTTTTTGGGGGGGATTTCGCCCCATTTTGCATCAAAATTGTACTTTCTTGACATTATCGAATCATTTTCTATTTATGTTGTATTACATAGTGCAGCAAAATTGGGGATGTTTAAGTTAGATAATGTATGTATCTATAACAAGTACAATTTAAAGGTAAACACTTCTAAAGTTTCGAAACAAAGGGTCTGTCTTGCACGCGCTAGAGTTGTACTTAATAAATAACTTCGACACCAAAAGCGTCTCGTTAAAACAAGTTATTATATCTATCAACTAAAACAGTCGTAATAACTGCAGCAAACTCATGAAGATTTTTTTTTTTTTTGAAAAAAATCGAGTCACTGAAATCTATGAATTAGGGTAAGGTAACCTACGGTTAAAGAGAAGTTGAGGAACAAAATGATAACTCTTGGTTTCGTTACCATTGGTTGAATAATTTAAGCCAGCGTTATATTTAACTAAGGGTTAAATGTAAACTAAGGATGAACAACCAGGTCATGGCATATTCAGCCTTTGATAGATTCGGCACATTTTTTTAAATGGTAGGTTTCCAATACTCTTTAACTTCACTATTGATTTGTCCTTTCTACTTTTTTGTTCGAGCGCCACGAATGAGTCTTGTGTAAAAGAAACGCTCGTCTAGAGTTATAAATTATCAGCCTATTTACTTTGACAAGTTTTTTTAGGATAGATAAAGTGTGAACTAAAATATGTATTATACTTTGATATTACTACCACTAGTTAACACCACGTATGGTTGACTGTTTGTTCTAGAGACTACCAACCTTTCAGTCTTGTTATTTGATACTAAAATGAATTCAGCCATACCTTTCGAAATATCGAAATATTTAAGAATCGCGCATGAACACCATATTTTATTTCTCTCCTATATTTTTTATAATAGCTATTATAATATCCGAGTGAGGTTGTCATTACAAAAGTATGCAACTTCTCGTTGTTTTAGATTTTCATTCAAGTGGGAATCTTTTCTTTTTCATATTGTCTAAATTATTTGGTTTTAACTGAATATGATAATCTTTGCTGAATAAGATTTCCTTTAAAGACTTTGAGTACGGTTAAAAATTCAATTTGTACCATACTAATAATGACTTAAATGTTGAATAATTTTTCAGTGAAAATGCACCTGAACGGGGAATTCAGAATTTGTTTTTTTCAACACCAAGTATAGCCTACATCAACATGCATACCATATGTGAACATTTAACCTTCAATAGGTTAGGGAAACTTTGTATTCTTTAATGTATTATGTATTATTTAACTTTGAGAATCACGCAAATTTACAGTATCATAAATTTTCTATCAACAATAAACTAATGTGTGCACTTCTGACGTTTTTGCTTTGTTTGTTTTAATAAACCTATTTATCTTTAGAATAGTTCATATATTGCCCACAGGATATGTTGCATATGTGAGTATTGTGTCCAAATTTATTCGTTTGTTATTTTTTATAACAAATTATTTTTTATGTCCGCTCATCGGTTTTTTTTTTTTTGCTAGGGTTCGTGTTGTTCTGTCTTTGGTTTTCTATGCTATGTTTTGTAAAGTTGATTATCCTATCGTCGTTTTAATTTTTCCTATGATGTTTTCCATATCATTGGACTTTCTATTGTCGCCTTGTTGTCTTCTCTTGTTTTTTAAAACGTTCTTGTATTGGAGATTATCCTTGACCATTCATCTACACGTCATATACGTAATTGGACTTTGTTAAGTAACATAAGCTAGCGTCACTAAATCCTTTTACATTGAAACGTTTTACAAATTAACAGGATGAGGTCAAAATTGTCCATTTGTCTACAATTGTCGATTCAGAGTTGTGTTATAGCAGTCCGAATGTGTTAAGAACCACACTGATTTCGTTAACACATATGTAGCAATTGATAGAATTTATGCGACTTTCATACAAGTGAGAGGTTTAGCTAGCTATAAAACCAGGTTCAATCCACCGTTTTCTACATACGAAAATGCCTGTACCAAGTCAGGAATATGGCAGTTGTTATCCATTCGTTTGTGGTGTTTGAGCTTTTTGATTTTGCCATTGGCTTAGGGACTTTCCGTTTAGAATTGGCCTCGGAGTTTTTTGGTCATTTACTTTTTTCTAGACATTCTGCAATTGTGTTTTTTGTGCATTCCTGCTAGCCGACATGTTCGTGTACTCACTTAAAGCATAATTTACACATATTGAAAATACAAAATCCTTCCATTTCGTGTTTTTGTAAATCTCTTATAAATGTCTGGTATTTTGTTTAGTATTTACAAAGTCACACTTATGCTCAACTGACGGGTACTAACGAATCCTGTAAACATGCACATCACAGTACATGATATGCATAATTAGAATACATTTGCATTAAGCAAAGGTTTCAATACGAAACGAACACTCTTAATAAATAGAAAACTGAAGAACAGTCAAACCATTGTCAAAACAGAAAAAAAGTATGATCATAAAAACACAAACAACGTTCACAGAAAATTCAACAATGAGTAGCAAAACAAATGCAAAGTAAAAAAAAAAATATTGTCAAACATTCAATTAATGAAACATTCAGAAAAATTTTCCTGACATTTTTTGTCATTTTTGTTACCTGGGCGTATGAAATATTAACTGCGCATTTGTTAATACTTCCCTAAGATTTTCAGTCAATGCAGTTTTTGTTTTTGTACGTTTTGTTTTATGGTATGGCGATGTCGTCGTTTCCAGACAATAACTTGAGTATAAGTATGTGGATCTCTTTGAAATTGTACCACAAGGTTCCATTCTATAAAAGGAAGGTTGTGATTGATTTTGGTGGTTATGGCCTGAATCGTTCAAGCCAAAAATAGGACCAAAAGCAAACATTTTCTGATTTTCGGACAATGACTTGGGTATAAGTGTATGGATTTGTTTGAAATTGTACCACAAGGTTCCATATCAGAAAAGGAAAGTTGGATTGAATTTTGGGGTTATGGCAATATCTTAGAAGCCAAAAATGAGTGAAAAAAAACAAGCAATAATTTACACTTTGTTTGATTTGCTCACTTCGGACCAATTTAAATGGGGTTTAAATTATCTTGAAATATTGGGGTTCTTTGATATGTTTAATCTTTTTAGTCTTAATTTCCCCATATAATTTCCTCCAGAATAACATTTCTGTTTAAAGGAAAATAACTCCAATCACAATGTGAATTAATAATCCACTCTAAAACGCACAACATTATTGTCACCTGTTCATTATCACTTTTCAGAACAATTATAACCACAAATTCACAAATCTAATTAAAATAACATCCCAACCACTTAGAATTACAATCTCATAACCCATAATTACCAATTCATGCCCAATTTCATGCCACAATTTTATCCCATATTAATATCCCATTTTGCAAAAATATTTAAAAACACACTTCAGTGCATTACAATATAAGTCTATTATCCTTTTAACTTAGATATAATTGTATTCTTCATTTCATTTCCACTACATCATTCATTCCAAAAATTACTAAATTGTTCCTTATCCATCACGATATGTTAAAGAACTTTCTATCATTATCTGATGATAAATATACCTAAACTACCATACACATCCATCTGTACCCCAACTTAGCTTATATTGTCCATTAATAAATCAATTAATTAAATTCTTGGTGATGAATCTTACTGTGTATTCAGATTTTGGATGTTAGACCATAACAGGTAAAAGTCCTATTTCAAATTTTTCAGTTCTTTGACCACATTTATTTTGTGTCGGAAACCTATGCTGTGTCATATATTTAATCACATTCCAAATTCAGAGCTGTATCAAGCTTGAATGTAGTGTCCATACTTTCCCAACTGCCCCGCGAAGCATTTTATTTTGTATGATATCAGTAACTTGAATCATATCTCATTATGTTGTGGAAAAGACCGAAAGAAGAGGGTCTTTAAGCCCCTCAATCGGCTTAATTATTTTCGAGCGGGGGATATTTTAACTTATTCTGCAGAAATATGAAATTAGCAAACATATACCCCACAAAGTGGCGATAGTTTGTGGAAAGCAACAGTATCGATGTAAGGGGCCAAGTTATTATCTGATACGCGCATTTAAGCCATCCACGAAATGTTTGTGTGTTTAAAACGCGAAAATACGCACGTTAACCTACATTTTCATATAAGGCTATTGAAATACTCTTAGATGATGCTTTTAATCATACCCTTCGCTACGACGTCCGTAGGTCCGTTAGTCCGTAGGTCCGTTAGTAATTTCGTTTCAGGATGCTATCTCAATATCGGATTGCAAACTTACTTTCTTCGAACTGGGTGTAAGCAATTGTAGGCCACCATACGACCTTCAACAATGAGAAAACCCCCATACCGTAAAGTCATGTAAAAAGGCGCAGACAAAATCAACAATATCGATTGAAACTTAACACCTGAAGATGAAATTTGACACATTTCACATACTTCGCTTTGGTAATAAATACATTAAAACCTGAAATATCGTCAAATTAAATCATTTGAAAATTAAGCACAGTAAATGGAAATTCTAGATTATAGATCTAGTTTTTCACAGTTCCCGCATATTTCGTTTCAGGGTTATGTCCCTTAATAATGAGGGAAAAAACTGAGTTTAATCGCTTGTTTCTGTAAAATTTCAAGTCCCCTTCAAAAAGTAATTTTAAAATAGAACACAAGATAAGAAATCTCAAAAGACAGTTATTAGTTTAATATATGAATGCTTTGTAGAATTTTGAGTCTGAAACAGATTATTTTAGGTCTTCTCAATTTTTACAAAAATGTCATTAGATAAACCGGTATTAACACAGTTCTATGCAACCATAGATGAAAACATGTTCGATTTGACACATTTTTACATTGAATTCAAATTAAATAAAAGTTTTCGAATATCCTAAATTAATAGAGTAAATTTCTCCTGTATTTGTTTCACTCAGATTACTTGGGGCTTCATGTAGTTGTTTACTCATCGTCTTGTTTTTCATTCATAATATCTTTGAAAAGAAGTTGACTT